GTAAGCAGCATATCTCGTGTGTTTACTACGAGCTTGATCAATATTGAAACGTAAACAAAAAATCAAACTGTGCTATTGCTCACCACTTATATTATCATTAGCATACTCTGGTTTTAGAAACCTTTTTCGTTCACCTTAAGATAAAAAAGCAGCTTCAGCTAATTTATTTATGTTAAACTTTGCAATGCTGTCAATGAAAACGTCATTAAATTTAACAGATAATAAAATCATAGTTTGGGTTCCTTCTAATACTTGTTATGTATCATTTTTTCGGCAAGATGTTCTCGTAGAACTTATTTCGATTTGTTTTAATTCGCTCAGCTATTTTTTTTAGTTTGTTTGACTGTTTCTTTTAATACAGAAAGAATACTTTCAGTGGTCTTCGTGATAGATTTAAATAATTGTTCTGCGGATTCTGTAAATTCTTGTGTTTGTTGACTCTCTTGTAATCGTTGTCTGACAGAATCAAGCACAGGTATATATTTCTTAATTGCTTTTTGTCGCTGCCGAGCTAACATTGCTGAGTAAAGTAAGCTTCACCGATCATTATTGTTATAACAATGATTTAGTTACAGCAGCAGAGAGGGTGTTACTAACAGTGAGTAACCAACACGTAAACGAATACACGTAGCGATGAAATACAAAATGACTTCGTAACAACCCAAGTTAACCGAAACGGGTCCCCTACGAGACAAAGTTAGAAGTGATACTTTAACGTAATTGACGTTCAGATTACATTTTTGTACGAAGCCTTATTATTCATAAATAATGTCTCAGGCAAATTGTCTGTTCAAAGCCTATGATGCTAAAGTGTTGCTTTCTTCAACAGAGTTTTAACAAGGGCAGTTTTGAAAAATGATGGGAATTCCCCGGAGGAAGGCAGTATTGAATCTAAGCACTCAGTAGCAGTGATATTGGAGTCGAATCAAGTTCTCATGACTTTGGGGACTCTTCGTAACAACTGTATTTACCAAATCCGTAGCGACATGTTCAAATATTGTTAAAGGTTTCGGTGCACACTTTGAGTGTGAGATTGATGTATGACACTATGTATAATACATCACTTTGAGTGTGAGATTGATGTATGATACTATGTATAAATACACCACTTTGAATGTGAGATTGATGTATGATGCTATGTATAATACACCACTTTGAGTGTGAGATTGATTTATGATGCTATGTATAATACACCACTTTGAGTGTGAGATTGATGTATGATACTATGTATAATACACCACATTGAGTGTGAGATTGATGTATGACACTATGTATAATACACCACTTTGAGTGTGGGATTGATGTATGGTAGTATGTATAATACACCACTTTGTGTGTGAGATTGATGTATGATACTATGTATAATACACCACTTTGAGTGTGGGATTGATGTATGATACTATGTATAATACACCACTTTAAGTGTGAGATTGATGTATGATACTATGTATAATACACCACTTTAAGTGTGAGATTGATTTATAATGCCATGTATAATACACCACTTTGAGTGTGGGATTGATGTATGATACTATGTATACTACACCACTGTGAGTGTGTGATTGATATATGATACTTTAAGTGTGAGATTGATTTATAATGCCATGTATAATACACCATTTTGAATGTGAGATTGATGTATGATACTATGTATGCTACACCACTGTGAGTGTGTGATTGATGTATGATACTATGTATGCTAAACCACTGTGAGTGTGTGATTGATATATGATACTATGTCTAATACACCACTGTGAGTGTGTGATTGATGTATGATAATATTTATGATACACAACTTTAAGTGTGAGATTGATTTATGATACTATGTATAATACACCACTGTGAGTGTGTGATTGATTGATATATGTGATTGATATATGATATTATGTATAATACACCACTTTGAGTGTGAGATTGATGTATGATACTTTGTATAATATACCACTGTGTGTGTGAGATTGATGTGTGATACTATGTATAATACACCACTTTGAGTAAGGAAATTGCTATAATGTATTATTTTAGTACAATATTTTGAGTGTGAATATAGTATTGTATATTATATATGGTACACCATTTTGAATCTGAGATTGATGTAGGATACTTTTTACAGTACATATCTTTGATTATCTGATTTATATCGGAATATATGTATAATATACTAATATGAAGGTGAGATTGCTGTATAATACTATGTAAAGTGAGATTGAGTCTGGTAGTTCTTACTACATATCGTTTAAATATTTCAGCCATATCGATATTAAAGCTTATCACAACATTGAGAAAAAATGTGCAGCTAATTAAAATTAATGAGATGATTAATACAAGAATGCACAGTTTTAATTGGAATGTTTTCCATTTGTCTTTATTGCGTTTATTCGACTTTATGGTCTTAAAACAATGTAACTGAATGAAAGTCAAACCAATAATTTAAGTAAAATTTAACACAGAATTTATTTTCTAAGAATCCAAAGTGAACATTTAAAACAAAACACTTACATTGTTATGAATTAAATCCCCAATAATCATAAATGTAGTAGCATTAAGTCTAAAGGTATATAATGTTCTGAATGAATAACAAAGTCTTGAGGGTCCTGATGTATTAAAATAATACTATTCAGAATGTCATTGAATGGGTCCTATATAACACCAAAGATGTGTTGAAGTAGAAAAAGTCAATGACCATTTGGTAATTCCAAAGAATAATGTAAATAAATAATTCCTCTCAAACTATATGTAAGCACAACTATAAGGCATTACACAGACTAATCTTACAACAGAAATTAAAGCTTTGTTTACAAAACCTCTATTTATACAGAAACTGTAACTTGACCTATGAAGCACGAAAATGCATTGGAATTATATAAATGTGTGTCAATTTTAATGGATATTTCCATCAAATTAGCAACATGTTTGCTTCCAGAATATTCTATGTTCGTGATCAAAGTTAGACCTTAAACTAAAATTTTTATTAAACTTGTTCTTTACTAATGACCAATATTTTAAAGTACAATATACGATGATGGACAAAAGTTTAACACGTATTATAAATATACATAACATACGAAATACTTCTATTACAACAACAACAACAACAACAACAACAACAACAACTACTACTACTACTACTACTACTACTACTACTACTACTACTACTAATAATAATAATAATAATGATAATATGATATCAGTTACAATTATATGTATGCTATTATTATAGTTCTTGTTGTTGCTGCTGTTGTCAAGCAAGTTGTTTTTTATGTCTTGGGCTGGTTCTTATAACCATGGACATTTTGTTTTTACATGATGTTCATCTGATCAGTTACTGTAGCGCATAGACTTGGGGAAAGATGCTGAGTTTTATTTTTTATTTTTTTTCTTTCGACAATAGTTCACCGCGATACAATTCCTTAGTTTGGAAGTTTTTTTAATAATCTGACCAAAATCTAGAATAATTCTCAGGACGTTTTTTTCATATCTCAGAGTTCCAAGGTCGTCTTTATTGCATGTGTGTGTGTGTGTGTGTGTGTGTGTGTGTGTGTGTGTGTGTGTGTGTTTAGAAGATGATGATACCTTTCAATCAGTACCGGATGTACCACTGTGCTTATGTGTGCTTAAGCACAAGGCCCCTGTTATCCGGGGGTGTGGGGTGGTGGTTAGCATCTTTTTGGCAATACCTCCTTTTTCAGGGCCCAAGTAAGGGGCCTCAAAACTTGACTAGCATAGGTCATCATTTGTCCTAAATCCGGCACTGCTTTCAACTAATATTATCAGTATAGGGAGAGGGCTTTTATTCAATATAATACCTCGCAGGCCAACCGAATTACTGTTATTGGTAATAAAAAGCAAAACAAAACTGATAATGTAAAAAAAGGAATATTAAGGAGTGTTAATTAGATCATGTAGCAATACTAAATAAAAATATAGACTCATAAATTGGCGTGGATATTTTGACAAGCATGAATATGGACAGAAAGCAATTGCAAAAAAAAATAGGTAACATAATGCGTTGGTGTTAATGGGTGATTTAATTACCAACAGGTCAGTGTCTGATAAGGTATATACATGTATAATCATGTTTGCCGATATGGCAGCACGGGATATAATACCATGACAAAGTTGGTCTATTATAAGCATTGAAACACACTATGCCATTCTGACGTCATACACACTGATTCATCTAGAATAAAACTGCAACAACATTTAAAGGAACAGTTAAGAATACAAATCTACGCCTCAGTTTGTATGTCAATGTACCGAGACTTACTTCTATAGTACTGACTGTGCCAAGGTATATTATTTTAAAAACAAGAGCACAAAGCTACTATGTAATGTGAACCAAGACATTTCTTTGGAATGCCTTTCTATATAACGATTGGTCAAAATCCGTCAGGGCATACAGGTAAAATAGTTAGCTACGCTTGCGATTAAACACAAAGACGCCGAACTCGTTTTCAAGACGAGGAAGTAGTAACAGTAGTCAAGCCTTGTAGATGAATGGTCTCATTTACCGAAACGTTCCAGCTGTCAACGACGGATACGATATGGACTAGATATTTCGTTTAAGGTGAGTTTTCATTGCTCGATTCTTCTTTCTCGTTCAGAACGAAGAATTGAGATCAAGTTTCGTAGTTCGTTTCTACATTACACTGAGATATGTCGACTTGCATAGACAAATGTAATCCAACCTTTAATTTTGACACGTTCAGAGCATATTTCTCAAAAAGTCACTTAGAGAAAACGCGTGAAACTAGTGATGTATGATGTGATTATGATTTTGAACGTAGCTTTAACAATTTTTCAGTCATATCTCTACGATGTCTGCAGTGTGGCAGTTTATAGTGATGTCTAGCACTTGTGTATCATGCCGCAGACATGTAGCATGATGTCCCACCCAGTCACATTATCCTGACACCAGGCCGACCAGTCTTAAAACTAACATCTTAATCATGAGCTTCATGCGAGGAAGCTGTTAGTACCAATTTTGTAAGTCTTTGGTATGATTCGACTGGGGATCGAACCCACGATCTTCCGCATCTCCTAGGCGGACGCTCTAACCACTAGGCCACAGGAGCGGTTTCGCGTGGGACTAAATTGTAGCTAATGTTTCCAAAGTAATGAGATGTATCAATACGAACGAAGTATATTTATGAAAAGATGAAAGTAAATGCTTACTAGCGTCAAAACACGGTAGTTTAGGATACTCAACCATATACAAATACAGTTCAAATCATTCTTTCAGAATAAAACCATCATACCAGAGTATGATGTTTCAGTTCAAATCATTATTTCAGAATCAAGACATCATACCAGAGTATGATGTTTCGTGAGACGTTAGAATAGCTGATAATTTCAGTTTCATTACAAATTGAAACAACTGAACATACCTACTTGATTACATGTTGCTGTGAATAATATAATTATTCTAGTTCTGCTATCCACGCAATTTTAAATTTTTGAATGCATCATTATGATGTGCCGATGAATTACAATCCGAAGGCCGCTCATTATTGTCCATCGATTCGAGAAATAAGATCGAATGTATATATATAATGGATTCGTCTGATTCCGCATCAGCGGGGTGCAGTACGTACGTTGCGACAGGTAAAGCCGACAATATTCCAATTATTTTGTCTCCTTTTGCCGCTAATACTAACTTCAGACAGCTCGCAGTAATTGAAGAGTGCAAGCGAGGCAGTAATGTCAAGACATCTTAATGAGTAAAAAGTGGAAACTTTTATAAATGCTACTCGCACAATGTGATTTTTATTCCTTGACTCACAAAGTTTACTTTTGTCAATAAGTCTTTCTTTTAGCAGTCTGGGGTGGAGCTAGAAATATAATTTCGGTCTCATACTAGTACTTCTAAATCTCAAACTGGCACCAATTTAAGAAATATAATTTCTGATAAGAATGATCAGAAATCTATATCCATTCCTGCTTGCCTTACTGTAAAACCGACGGACACTTTAATTCTTAGAGTTACAGGTTGCAAAATTAGGAAACATAATAAAGATAGAGGTATTCCAAATGCTGTTATTTCGAAAAGGTCAAGGCAACGGTACATTGTTGGGTCAAGGAAACTCAAATACGATTCTATTATGCTGAATTATGAACGGGTTATGTCAAAAGGTTCTATATTACTTATTGATGCTTATGCCAAGCCTATTCCTATTAAAATATTAAGGGATCCTTGAGCTTCTAAGAGTCTTTTATGTGCTTTGCATTTGTTTGAAAAGTCTTCTAGCAAAAGTGTTCCTTTCCAGGGAGATGATATCATTCTCTATTAATGTTTCTCTCTATTGAGTAGCAGCAGGGGGGGGGCGAACCCTACAAAATTTTGCGACAAAATCGATTAAAGCCTCAGAATGCCAAATGGAGCCTTCCTACGAAATCTCATATTTTAACCAAAAAAAAAAAAATAAAGACCCCATTTTACAAATGGAGCCTTAGCGATTTTGTCGTAAATACATTGTCATAACCACCCTCAAAATTGCTGCCATCTACGTCGCAAATATGTTGTCATCTCGCCCTCCCTGCTGCTGATTAATACAAATTATTTAACCAAATATTTGATCAAGTCCAATACGATATCGTGACCGAGGGTCGTGTAAATTTATTGTTAGAAATCCAATGGGACTGACTGAGCATGACTAAAGTAATTTTTAAATCCATTGAAGTCCATATCGGAACACCATGTCTGCCAAATATTTCGTAGTGTATGTGTATCAACGCCATTGAATACAGCAAGAATATTGCAGTTATCGCGAATCACTTTTGGAATTTGAGTGTAGCGTTGATTGACATATATCATGTCAGTGTTTTTATGCCTACCTCGTGAAAATATTCTAGCAGGGTTCTTTTGATTATCTAACATTACATCATCGTACACTACAAGATTGTTTATGTCTCCATCGAGATCTTCTACTGATGGTGCATCATTAATATCAGTAATAAAGTCGATTACACTTTCACCTTTAATTTCTGATGCATTTTCATTATAATCTTTTAGCACTTCATAGCACCGTTGATCATCTACGGATGGTGCAACTAAATATAATTTATCCCACTTCATAAATCGCATTATTAAATTAAGCAGCAATTGTGTTTTACCCGATCCAGATGGTCCGATTATAATGGCACGGACAGAATTCGGAAGCGCTGCGTGGTGTTTTACCGGTTCTCTTCTTTTAGTCGCTGAAAAATCAATTATATTCATAACTCTATATATAAATTATGGATTTATATTGTGTTAAATGTAAACAGCGTACTGATACAACCGATCAGACAACCATTACAACTAAAAACAATAGACTAGCGCTTACTGGTAAGTGTGTAACATGTGGTACAAAAAAATTTCGATTTTTAAAAAAAAGCAACTCGGAGGTGATATTGCCGCAAAACTTGGAAAACTCCCCGGAACCCCATGGGCAAAATACCCCGGAGAAAAACACCTTCCAGGATATAGTTACTGTGGTCCCGGAACGAGATTAGATATCAGACTTGATGATCAAAATCAGCCCCGGCCTGGTGAGTATCCGATAAATGCTATTGATAAGGCATGTCATGCTCATGATGTTGCATATAAAAGCAATAATTTGCAACAAAGACATCTCGCGGATGTAAAATTAATTCATGCGTTAAATGCTATTCCCGATAAATCCTTCAAAGAAAAATTGGCTTCATGGTTGGTCAAATCAGCTATGAAAGGCAAATTGGTGTTAGGTGCTGGTAATTAAAAAAATCTATTTATTATTCTCAGAAAGGATACTGGAAGGGTAAAGCAGCAATTAGTAAACTCGCTAACGTTGCAAAAGTGAAAAAGTCCACTGCGGAAGATTGGTTATCCAAACAAGCTATATGGCAAATTTATCTACCACCGCCTAAACAAATTAATTATTCTCATTTTGATGTTACCGTACCCAATGAAGTTCATCAGGCTGATTTATTGTTTTCACCACATGACCATGGTTACAAATACGCGCTAACTGTAGTTGATATTGCGAGTCGCTTTAAACAGGCAGAACCATTGAAAACAAAGTCAGCTTCTGAAGTCGCTTCTGCATTTGAAAGGATTTATAGACGAGGTCCTCTAAGATGGCCAAATCTACTACAAGTTGATCCTGGCAAAGAGTTTCAAGGTGCTGTTCTATCAACAATGAAAACTCATAATGTTACAATACAACGGGGACATACTGCGTTACATCGTGATCAGGCAATTGTAGAACGATTTAATCGAACTCTTGCAGAACGGTTATTTGGATATCAATATGCAAAAGAATTCATCCAAGAAAAACGATCTCGAGAATGGGTCCAAAGGTTACCGAGTGTAGTTGCAGCGTTAAATAACGAGATTACTCGAACTATTAATATGAAACCAAATATTGCAATAAAAAAAAATATATACCCGAACAACCACAGCGGGTTAGCACTCAGCCACTTCTCGGTGATGTTACTGTGAGATATTTATACGAACCAGGAGAACTTGAAGGTGGTAAAAGAAGAGCTACTGATCCTATATGGAGTGTTACTACGCATAAAATTTCAACCATAACGCGATCAACTGGTAGACCTCCAATCTACAGATTGGATTCAACTGCACCTCAGCGTGGTTTTACACGCGAACAACTACAAGTCATTCCGGACGATACTCAATTACCGCCACTTTGTCTTAACTAGCTCCGTTACGTCTATTACACTCAAGACAGGTCAACATCACATTGTTTCTGACATGACCAAGACTGTTATTTTTTCTGTCTACGGTGAATTGTCGAGGGTCTTTATCCGAATACTGCCAGTGCATTATACAATTGCAACTGGCGCAGTGATTATTCTGTTGTTCTTTTAATGCGATTATTACTTCAGCATCAATATCAAATTCTCGTTGTTTTTTTTGTCCTGTTGTTTGTAACCAGTTTTTTTTTTATTAATGATGCTAATATCAGTGTTATCATCGTTTGCATTAAAATCATCATCGAAAACAATCCTTCGTAGTTGATTTATTCGTCGTACTCTGGACACTGCGAGATAGACTAAATTTGACCATTCAATGCGATTATCAACTATCCAAACAGTTGTATCCGTGATGGTTAATCCTTGTGACGAGTGTATTGTTGTTACATAACCAAGCGTCCATGGTGATTTATCAGCGCATAATGCATCTTCTACAGCATTGATATCAACTAGCACAATATCATTTAACACTAGAATCTGTTTCTCTGTCTTTCCTGGAATTTCAACTTCAATATTCTGCTTTCGTGTATCCAATGGTCTATAACACAACGGTACTGGAAACGTTGGGAATTTTTTCTTGTGTAGCTCAAACAACTTTTTCTGAAGTGCGTCTCTGACTATCTTTCTACTTGCTACTACAAAATCATTTGGTCTTCATGTTTCCCAAAAATCATTCATAGGCGTTTCAGAAATTATTTCACGCGCTACTTCACATTGAATTCTATCGGGTTGTAATCTAATTAGTTTTTTAAACTCACGTAACTGCTCATCGAGTGCTCTATAGTCAGTATCAATTTCTTCGTAATAATCAACAAATCCTTTTAACCAATTATGTGGACTTCTACCAACAAATGGTGGTGGTTGACCATGATCGCCGCACAATATAACTTTTGTATTATTTTGCAATAACCAATCAAGAAACATTTTTAATACATCTTCTGAAACAGTACATGCTTCATCCCAAATAATAACCGCTGGAATAAATTTCTCACCCATTCGCTCAGGAGTCCAAGCATCGCCCTTGTATCGAAAAAAACTATGATACGTGCAAGCTTCAACGGAAAATCCTTTGGATTTTTGGCGTTGTTTTATCTCTCTCGCAAGTCTATGGGTTGGTGTGAGTACAATCATGGACGTTCTCTCTCGATATAATTCTATCACACGTGTTGTCTTTCCAGATCCACCACAACCGTTTAAATAAACTGTTTTATATCTACAAATTGGATCTGATATCGGTGGTGCTTTAGACATAGAAAATCCTTCGGATTTTTCACTGATAGAATTATCGTTTTTCAGGTAACTGCTTTTAATCTCAAGGTCTGCTGATTCAGAATAATCGCAT